CTGTGCCGCCATTGCAGCGAGCGGCGGCAGGTGGGTGTGGAGGGGCGCTCTGAGGGGATGCTGGGCTCGATCGTGCTCCTAGGGAGGCTGGGGATGGTCTAGGGCTTAGCATGGAGGTGCGGGAGACCCGTTAGGTCCTCTGGGGGTTTCCAGGGAGGCTCCCGGGGCCATAATGGGGGGTCAGAGCCTCAGTGTTAGGCCGCGTGTGGCCCTGAGGGGACCCCTCCGTCCCGCGGAGCCTGATCTGTCTCCGCTCGTCTTCAGGACAGCCGTTTTAGAAATAGAAAATGGTGAGAGAAGATGACAAGGTGATCCCTGTGCGTGTGGCGCTGCGCTGCCGGCCCTTGGTGCCCAAGGAGACCTGTGAAGGCTGCCAGATGTGCCTGTCCTTCGTGCCAGGGGAACCGCAGGTAAGGGAGCTGCCTGCTGTGCTTGTGAGCAGGGCCTGTCTATGCCCATGTGTGTATGCACCTACAGGTGTCTATATATCTCTCTGTGGTGTACAGGTCTTTGTCTTTCAGTGCTGAATGCAGCCTCAAGTCCCTGTGGCAATGCAGCCAGCACTGATCACTCTCATCATCTTTACAGGTAATCGTAGGCAACGATAAATCATTCACGTATGACTACGTGTTTGATCCCTCTGTTGAGCAAGAGGAAGTCTTCAACACGGCTGTTGTGCCTCTTATCCGAGGCATCTTCAAAGGTTTGTAAGGATTGAATTAAAATTTTGTTTTAAAGTACTATTTTTTTTTTAGTGGGTTCAGGTATGTGAAAGGTATGTGATCTCCATTCTGAGTCCTTTCTTCCTCCAGCTTCCCCGAAATTAAAATTCTCTGCTCTTAGACCCTGATTCCAGCCTTCAGTGAGAAATCTTGCCCCTCTATAACGTGTAAATTTCTGTAAGGCTGTCAAGATGACTTAAGCATGTTCGCTGGGTCATTTTGGATTTGAAGGTATTTCATAAAGGCAAGAAAGTTTTAATAAAAACAGTGTGATGAATTGATAAGCAGCCTATCCTAGAAAGTGTTACTGATGCTGGAGTGGAATTGGGATGGCGGAGTATCTATGACTGTCTTTAGTTAAAACAACAGAGCTGTCCTGAAAAAGCTGTAGTATTTCTGCTGTATTCATTGATGTTTTTTCCTTGTTGTTGTTAACTATGACCTGTGCATCAAGGCTATGCAAATTGATAATGAGTGGCAGTGATTTTTGGGAAGGATGCTTTGACTGGAGTGCTGCTTAGTTTGTCAAAGTATTCTGCTGGACTCTACCTGGCTTCCTGATCCAGGTATTCTTTATTCCTGTAGGATATAATGCTACTGTGTTAGCTTATGGACAGACAGGATCTGGAAAAACATACTCCATGGGAGGTACCTACACAGCCTGTCAAGAGCATGAACCTAGTGTGGGGGTCATCCCTCGGGTAATCAAGCTGCTATTTAAAGAAAAGGAGCAGAGACAGGATTGGGAAATTGTCCTCAAGGTCTCCTATTTAGAGGTAAAAGTTGCTTTGTTTTTGTTTCAAAACATTACAATGTTGTGAATTGCAAGCAAAATGAACCTTAGTGAGACTGTCTCCTTTGGTAATAGGAATTTATGGCATCAAAACTTAAGATTTTATAAGGTCTTCAGAATCTGAATTCTAAGTGCTGTATACTTCTTGCTGAAGGTAAAATGGATTCAGTGTCATGCAAAGTTAGCCTTGGCTTGAGCATAATTATATCATGCTTTATGTAAACTGTGTTCTTGCAAGGCTGCTAATTCTGAGCTGCTATTTGATATTTTCAGATCTACAATGAAGATATTCTAGACCTGCTGTGCTCATCTAGAGAACGGTCTTCTCAAATCAGTATCAGGGAAGATCCCAAAGAAGGAATAAAGGTCTGTTGTCCTGTTAGAAATGGATACGTAACGGGTACATAAGCAGCATGGCTAGGGACAAATGTTTTGATAAAACAATTGTCTTATGCACTAAGGGCTGTTTTCACACTACCTCCTATATAAACATAAATGTGTAAAGTCACCACAACTGCTTAGCATTTAAGTTTTCTCCAAAAGCAACACCAACAGAGTTAGACATTAAAGATAAAGCTCTTTCCTTCTGCCTGTGACTGACACAGCTGTTGCCCTGGGCCAAAGCTGTGCAGGGCCAGGGGATATCACAGGCTGCTGTGGGTTTCCCCGGGGAGTCCCGAGGAGCTGTTTTCGTCCCAGTGCCCAACTGGCTTTCAGGCAGAAGAGCTTAGTTATGTGTATGCCAGAGGGGACTGAGAGGTGGGGTATTTTCAAGATACTGATGGGAAGCTCAGAACAAACTTTTGCTAGAGGATCCACACTGTTAGCAACCCTCTCCCTTGAAGTGAGACTCTACTTTGTCTGACTGTATATTTTCCTAACCTTCATGAGCTGAATTGCTGTGACACGATAAATTAGGGGTGAACACGATAAAAGGATAAATGATGCTCTCTTCCTGGATACAGATTATAGGGTTAACGGAAAGAAACGTTGCCTGTGCCCAGGATACTGTATTCTGCCTAGAGCAAGGAAACAATTCCAGAAAGGTGGCCTCCACAGCAATGAACTCCCAGTCCTCCCGGTCACATGCCATCTTCACCATTTCAGTTGATCAGAAGAAGAAAAGTGACAAGTAAGTGTGACAGCACAGCTACCTGTAGTAGCAGATAGGAGTTGGACTTAGTACAGATTTCATAGTCTGTTATTCTCCTAGTCTTGGGTTAACTCAGCTGACCTACAGCTGAGATAGCTGCTTTATTTGGCTGTCTTTGTGACCAGGCTTTGTGTCTCTACTTTTCAGCTAAGTAACTCAACTATACAAACTAATATCCTAAACTGCTCTGATCTTAGCTGCCTGTTGACCTGAGAGAGTAAAATAGCCAATTTTTGCCCTAGGAACAGCATTTTGCACTCCAAGCTGCACCTGGTTGATCTTGCTGGATCTGAAAGACAAAAGAAGACCAAGGCTGAGGGAGACAGATTCAAAGAAGGTCAGTAAGCAGAGGACAGGCATCGCTTGTGTTTCTTGCCACTCCTGAGTCTGTAAATCAAGTCTTTGTCAGGAGAAACAAAGCAGTCCCTCAAGTATAATGCATATTTTACCTTTCTGTGATTTTTACAAAAGGCCAATAAACAATTTCTAGCTCTTGAGGTAGCTTCACTCATTGTTATCTGTTTGCGTGCAGGAATCAACATTAACAGAGGTCTTCTCTGCCTGGGGAATGTAATCAGTGCTCTTGGTGATGAGAATAAAAAGGGTAGTTTTGTCCCCTATAGAGACTCAAAGTTAACGAGACTGCTGCAAGGTAAGAACCAGATAATGATAAAGCCTAGATCTATAGATGAATTTTAAATAACCAGCTATTAAAAAAAAAAAAAAAAGTCCTGAAAGCCACTCCTGTAGTGAGAACACCTGCGGAAGAACCGGGAGTCGGGGCCTGGCAGAGTACGTGGCAGTGGGCACAGGGTGTGAAGCTGCACACAGACCAATTGCTGCCGAGGCCAGGCACGTGTGTTCCGTTTTGTCAACAACGGCTGGCTGCTCCCCTGCTGCAGCTACCCAAGGCTAGCACAGCTGAGATAAGGAAGCAGCTCTAGGGGATTTAAGAGGCCCTTAGAACAAGTGGAGCCTTCCCTGTGAGTGAGACCTGTATGTCTGACCCAGCAGCCTCCCACTATGAGCCCTCCTCACTGTTCCCAGGTCTCCCTATGCAGCTGGGTGTGCAAGTCCTTCCTCAAACCCATTCTGCTTCACCCACTGAAACTTAAGTGTCCCTGCATGTTCCTCTCTTGCCCAACTCACGGTTGGTCCCGCAGCCATACAGCTGCATCCTGAAATGGGAGCTTGTTGCGGAAAATGTGATTGCTTTTATTGATTTCATTCCTCTACTTGCTGTAGCTAGACCCTTTTTGTGCTCTGATTTTTAAGTTGCAATTGCTCTGAGGTAGGCACTCAAATGGGTTCCCCTATTGCAATTACTCCGTGATGGGAGAAAACATGATAAACTTAGAGCAACTTTTTTGGCAGTGAGAAGGAACACATCTGGAAATGGAGACCTATTATTAGATCCTGGTTGTAGCTGCTGATTGAAGGATATCACGGCCAGAAAGAAGCTCAGGCTGTCTGTGCCTTAACTGTGCACTTCATTTCTTTGTATTTTGATTTCTTAGTCTGAATCTCTGTTATAGTGTTTATTTTTTCAATCATTGTAACAGTCTTTTATATAGCTTAGTCTTAATATTTTTATATGGTCATAGCTGCAATAATTCATCCTAATGGATTTTTGTTTGTGTTCTGATAGTTAAGCTGCTAACAAAAGTTGAGTTTTCAGTATTTCAGATATCTGAAAATATCAGATATAAGGAACTTGGACTATGCAGAGTTGGGTTTGGGACCCTCTTTCATTAAAAATTTTAGGCATGCAATACATCTTAGTGTAGAAACAAAGGGTAAAGCACTGTGTACCTTAATGATCTGAACAGATGTGCTCTTAGTCATTATTACTTTAAATTGGAAAAGAATAATAAGAATTCAGGTGTCTGGATATCCATGAAGATGTTTCTATTGCTGTATGAGAGAAGGGAGGGGAAAGAACTGGAAAATATTCTATCAGAAGTTACATATATTCAACATAGTGACAGTGCTTCAGAGGCTTTGGATGTGAAATCACCAGTGCATAGATCTGAAACGACTCTGGGACTTTGGCATGTTAAGAATGCTCTTTAGTTCTTGATGGACAGGGTACAAAGTAGATGACAAAAGAAATCTAGCTGTTGTTTTCCATCATTATCTCTTATATGGTAATTCCCTCATGCTATCTTAGCTATCTGAATGGTGATGCCTTACTAGTTCATTCTTGCTGTCCCTCAAAGCATCAATTATGTCTCATTTTCAGATTCTCTGGGAGGTAACAGCCACACTCTTATGATTGCTTGTGTAAGCCCAGCGGATTCCAATCTAGAAGAAACTTTAAATACTCTGCGTTATGCTGACAGGGCAAGAAAAATAAAAAATAAGCCAATCATCAACGTGGATCCTCAGGCAGCTGAGCTTCAACATCTAAAGCAGCAGGTACTTGGTCCTTTCCTCATGTCACAAGAGTAGCGGTAGTGAGCTCATTAAAGAGCAAGCGGAGTGAGGGTGTCTAGCTGCTGAATGTATGAAAACTGTTCAGTATGTGTTTTTGTGTCTTGAGGTGGCTGTGTAAGTGGTATAAAGGGACCTGAATTCTGCAGCAGTCCCTGAGGCTGTTTTTTTTTTTTTTTTTTAAAAAAAAGGTAGCATTAGTGCAGTCAGCATTTTCCCTTTGGTGAGTGTATCATTGCCTGCCCATTGTCCTACAGACAAGGACAGAGCTTTGGTGATGGTCTCCTTGCTTGCTTTATGCAGCTATGTCAGTGGGAAGTGAGGAGTGTTCCTGTGCAATTAGCTTCAGGGGGACCTAACCTGCATCAGCTCGAAAGAGCTGCTTAAATCCAGAGCTAGGAGTGCTGGATGGCTTGTCTACTCCTGGCTGTTCAACCAGGCTTGCTGCACTTGCTTGGCAATGAGCATATGATATATTTAATCTTCATAGGACTACTCAATCAGTAAAGCTTTTTGTGTGAAATTTCACCAGAGTGTAGTGAATGTTTGTTAAAATACTGTAAATTCAAATCATGCATTCACACAGCTGAAGAATAAAAGCAATCTGGCTCTCTCTCATGTGAAAGGTAGCAATGCACCGCTGCGTCAGTGCTACCAAGTGGGAGACGTCCCCTCTGATGCAGTGACGGCTCTGGCACCTTATGTCCAGCACTGGTGGCTCCCACCCGAAAACTGAGCAGGCACCAATCTGAGCACCATTGAGAAGGGGGGAGCTTGTTTAGAAGCAAATTTCTTTGAGTATCATGGAGATATATGATTCTTTTCCCAGAAAACAGTAAAAGGCAAGGTAATACATTAAGACTAAGGACTATAATAGTAATTCCTTCAACTGTCTAGTTACTGTATGAAAAGGATTTACAAGCAGTAATTGGTTTTATTTTTAGGTACAACAACTACAAGTGTTACTGTTGCAGGCCCATGGAGGGACCCTCCCAGTGTCTATCAAGTAAGCTTTGTAGATTCATGCTCAATGTAACTCTTACACATCATACATGACCCAAAGCTAGAGCTGCTTTGCTGTAGGTGACAGTGCTGTAGGGTGAGGGTCTTTGTTTTTTTCTGGTTGTGCTTACAGAAATCCCATGCATCTACAGCTTGTTTATTTTTGTAGCAAGACTGCAAAAATAAACTGCAGGAAATCTGAAAGGACATCGGCATCTGTTTCTTAGACCCATCCCCACCTGTTCTGTTCCACTGCATGCCCCAAATTAGTCTCCATTGTCCTTAGAAGTACAAAGTCTAGGGAAAAAATAGTGTGCATGGGTGTTGTCTTTGGTGATATCTCAAAACCCAAATAAATGCAGTTTCCAGAGCTGTCATTGATTACAGCATTGCTGGAAATGGATTTGGAAATGTCTACTCTTGGTGGTATGCTGTATTGTTCAGCATTTCTTTTGATACTAGAATTCGTCCCGCTGTTTTTGTTCCACTGCTGCAAACTACATTCAGTGCAAATTATTTAGGAAACTTGGAGGTAATTTCAATGCTGTCACAAAACTCTAGCAAAGCCATGTTCACAACCAAGGTGGTCCTTGATATTGTAGCAGTTTGGCACCGTCTGAGAATCTGCAGTCCTTGATGGAGAAGAATCAGCTGCTAACGGAAGAGAATGAAAAGCTGAGCCGGGGGCTGAGCGAGGCTGCTGGTCAGACCGCGCAGTTTTTGGAAAGGATCCTTCTGGTAACTGAGAAGAGTTTAAATTGCATGGCTTTCCTCTTAGCTGACAATCAGTCACTAACAGCTCTTTACTAATAACATACTGGGTATCTCTTTGTTACTTTCATGATTGTCTGAAATATCCAGCTATCAGGTAATCAGAACTAAACATCTTCTGAAGTCTTTCAGAGTCTGTAGGTCTGGTGACTTCAGGGGACCTAAGTTAGACCTAAGTCATTCTTTTGCTTAAAGGCTTTAAGCACCAGAGATTGCGTGTGTGCAGATCTGCTCTCTTTCTCTTTTTGATTCTTTGCAGTATATATCCCAATTCTTACTTGTCTTACTACCAAAAAAGTTAAGTCTAAACAAACTGGTGGAAGGGATCATGCAAGATGTTTCAGTGCATAGATCTACTGTGGAATAACGATGTATCTTTTGCTGCAAATAAGTTCTGTGTCTTCTGGCTCCTTATTTGTATCTCTCATTTCCTGCAATTCAGTATAATTCTGACTTCTCTTAGACAGAACAAGAAAATGAGAAGATGAATGCCAAACTAGAGCAACTTCAGCAACATGCTGTGTAAGTCTCTTTCCATACGCTATCTGTGCTGAGGAAATGCATTCAGCATTGAAAGTTCTTGCTGGGATGAACTGGATACAGGCAACTTCATTCATTCAAAACTCATTTGTGTGTAGGGTGGGGAAGGCTGTTAATATATTGACGTGTGACACAAACTTGCCATGTCAGACTGGTGAACTCACTCCCAGGTCTGCATTTCAGGTGCAAGCTTGATCTGCAGAAGCTGCTAGAGACCGTGGAAGACCAGGAACTCAAAGAAAACGTAGAGGTGATTCGTGATCTGCAGGAAGTGTTGGTTCAGTTGCAGGTAAGAACATATCTAGGGCAAAAAGTGTGCCAAATGAGTTCAGCAGTGAAACCAAGGGCTCTTCTACCAATCTGCTGAGCAGTGGATTCCACTCAGCAGAAACCTTGCTTAAGGACCCCAGGTATTGCAAATACTAAATGACTTTTGATGTCTATTTTAAAGCAAGCTGTCCTGCTGCACTTTCAATGATACAGAAAAGCCACTTGTGCTTGAGTGACTGCACATGGAGAGAATCAGTGAGTCTCCATAAGAGAAGTCTGTGTTGGTTGATTAGCAAGGGTTTACAGTCTAAAAGCTAGAAGCTGAGTTATAAATTCTTTTTTAAACAATCGGTCTTAATTGCTGAGACATGGAGTTTAATAGAAGTTGACAAATCTTTGTCTGTTGGAGAACTTCTCTGTTCTCCCCTCCCTTGCTAGACATTTTTCCCAGTCCCTAGGCTCCTTATCGTTGTGAGGAACTGGCTGGCAATGCTGGAGTCTGGGGGGGATTATCAAGAATGCCTTGGCCAGCCAGTCTGGGAGGAGTCTGCTCACTACTAGAGCAGGAAGATGGGTGATCTCTTTCCACAGGCAGCTTTCTGGAGAGAGGAGAAAACTCAGACTTTGTCACACACCAACAGGCTCTTATTAATTTCATCTTTCTTCTCTAGCTTTCATTTTATGCCAAAGGTTTTTCTCTTTGTCCTACGCAGAGGGAAAGTGCTGCCCTGATGGAAGCTGCTGCGGAGATGGCAAACACTGAACAGGATGCTTCACCTGTAAGTGAGGGGAGTCCAACAGCATAGGCCTTACCAAGGGGAATGACATATCCCATGTCATTCCTCCATCCTTGGTTATTTACCATCTATTTGGCTTAGATATGTTTCACTTTAGTGTGCTGCTTTTCTGCAGCCTTCTTTATTAAAGGTCAATAACCTGTGTTGATTTCTGAAGTTGTGATTGTCTTATGTAAAAATGAATTTGAAATGTTCTGCAAAAACATAATTTGAGACCTTGAGGACTGACCTCTAGCTCATGGTTGTGTCTGTTCCAGCAAGCAGAAATGGGCCGGGATACCAAGAGATCCTCAGATGACTTCACCACTCAACATGCCCTCCGTCAAGCACAGATGTCTAAAGAGCTGACAGAACTGAATAAAGTCCTGGCTCTAAAAGAGGCTCTTGCCAAGAAAATGACACAGAATGATAGTCAGCTGGAGCCAATTCAGTCTCAATATCAGGTAAACCCTTTCCAAAATGGCTGTTTAATTTATTTTTCATGATTAAAGCAGTCACTGCACTGCTGAAGAGGCAAACGGGGAGAAATCTGCCTTTTCATGAGCATATCTTTGGTTCTGTCAATTTACTGAAGTTGGGTCATTCACTGGTCAGTTGGACCCAGAACAGACTAGGGGAGGTGTTTAACAAGTGTCAATGGGATGAGAGGGAGAGGAAAGACATTCCTGCTAGTGTACAGGCAATTTTACTGCCAGAAGATGCTCTGTCCCTTGAAATAAGCTACTAGTTACTGTCTGTTTTATGTGAAGTTTAACTGTGTTTTACTCAGACATGCTTGGCCACACCAAGCCAAAATGAAAGTACCTCCCTGTTACCTTCTATCATTCAGCCATCTGATCTGGCTTCCCTGATTCATCAGCTGTGCTGGGGTCTGCCATCTCTGAAATTGTTGAGTAGAGTTGAATAGAATTTCAAAGTTGTTACTTGGAAGGTTACTTCTCCTGTCCTTTTCAGACTAATATCAAGGACCTGGAATCAGAGGTTAGCAGTTTGCAAAAAGAAAAGGAAGAGCTGATCGCTGCTCTGCAAATGGCAAAGAAGGATGTCAACCAAGCCAAGTAAGGGTGACTACACGACCTACAGGGCTAGTAGCCCTACTAACTGTGGTGATTTATTTACCTATGAAAACTCCCTGTCTTGGCCTTACTTCACCTGTTTGGAATGGTTCTTGTTTTGATGCAAACTAGATTAAGAATGCTGCATCACTGATCCCAGGGGTGTGACATTTTAATGAATAGTTTTTTCATTTTTCATAAGGAGCTTCTAAATTTGGAGAATACTTGCTTAAGAAGGACAGTATTTAGAGTCTATTTAAAATGTAATGTCTTTACAGACTGAGTGAACGGCGTCGGAAAAGGCTTCAGGAGTTGGAAGGGCAAATTAACGAACTGAAGAAGAAGCTGAATGAGCAATCAAAGCTTTTAAAGATGAAGGAATCTACAGAACATACAGTCTTAAAACTGAACCAGGAGATCAGGGTAAGTATCCTGGCATACAAATTTCAGACTTGTTCTAGTGTAGACAGAGCAGCTTCCAGGTGGAAGACGCTGATATTTTCTGTTTTGTTAAGATTGAGAACACCATTTATATATATTTTTATATATGTTGAAACTATGCAGAGTATAAACATTGCACACTTTGCATATTTTTCCTAGCTGTTTTTATTTTTCAGGAAATGAAAAACCAGCGGGTACAGCTGATGCGCCAAATAAAAGAGGATGCTGAGAAGTTTAGGCAGTGGAAACAGCAGAAGGACAAGGAGGTGATCCAGCTGAAAGAACGGGTGAGCAAACAATAAGTCCCCAGGTTTCACCCTGAAGAGTGAAACAGTTTATTGGGGTTTGCTGCAAGGCTTTGTGTAGCTTAACAAACATCTGAGAAACACGTGAGGATTGCTTTGAAGTTAACAAAACGTTGATTCATATGGCTGCCACCCTTCACAAGTTGTCATAAATGGTCTCGCTTATATCTGAGGTCTTAACACTATGAATGCTGTCATCACTGTTCAGACCTGAAGCGGAAGGCAAAATATTAAATATTTTTAAACATTTTTAAGTACTTGAGGCTGTAGGTTTTAGCCATGGACTGGGAAATATTTAGTATATTAAGGAATATGGGATCTGTAAGCAAGCAGTGAGTTGTTAATGAAATTCAGTGCTTGCAGCAGTTAGCAGACATCTGTACCTCTTGATTTCTGGTCTTACAAAAATTCTTACTATGACAAGTTAGCTCCTAAATGCTTTAGGATGCTACAGCTTAAACTCGTGACTTCCAATCTCTTACAGCCTTCAAGTTATTAAACTTTTTTATTATTATTGTTATTATTATTTTACAAAACAGTGGAAACTTTTGTAGTTGCTTTAAGCCTAATGGCCATTTATTCATAAAGGCAACATGTGGCTTAACCTTGTAATATTCAATGAAATCATCATCAAGCAAGAAGCACTAAAACTTGCCATTCTGCTATGCAGGCATTTTGTTCCGTGAAACATGAAATTACCATGAAATGTGAAATTGGGCCTAGTTAGAAAAGTTGCATGCAATTTTAATATCTAATGTGTTTCCCTGCAGGATCGCAAGAGGCAATATGAGCTACTTAAGATGGAGCGAGACTTCCAGAAACAAGCTAATGTTCTTCGGCGCAAAACGGAAGAGGTGAGGGGCCCATGTGCACTGGAAAGGTCTGCAGAACGACCTGGAGGCTGTAGCAGAGCATGCAGAAGCTTCTTAAAAGCAGTTGACAGGTCTGGAAATAGTTGTATATGTTTCTATAGAAAACACTGTGCTTCTGGTAAGCTTTGAGGGATTCTAGTTAAATCTGCTCCTTAAATTTCCCTTTTAGCATCAGACTGATTTCTATTATGGATACCCAAGCTAGCAAACAGAAAATAAGCTCAGATGGATTTGCTAGATTGCAGTTCAAATTTATTTGAGGATGGCTGCGGAGAAGACGTATACCTGACACCATTTTTGGGAACGTTTTCTTCTGACTTTGTGCCATTCTGATTTCTAATCAAACTCATAAACTTGGACTTTCAGCAAATAAAAAAAAGTTGGCACTCTACAGAGTATATTATAGAATTAATTCTAAAGTTGTGTTTTAGACTTATCAGTCTGCCCAGTAACTAGTGGCTGTCAGCGGGTTGCACTGTGAATGTCTTGTAGGGTTTTTAGCTGTCACAGGGCTCCTAGGCGAGGTGAGCAGTGCTCAGCTCTCACGCAGAACACTTTGCAGGCAGCAGCTGCTAACAAGCGCCTGAAGGACGCGCTGCAGAGGCAGCGGGAGGCCGCGGACAAGCGCAAGGAGAGTCAAAGCCGGGGAATGGAAGGAGTTGCTGCACGAGTGAAGGTGGGTAGCAGTGCTCTGTGCAGCCCTGCAAGCAATAGGCAAACGTGGCGCTGGGAACGCGTCAGGCACCACGAGGGCTTGGCAGCTGGAAATCCAGAGGAAGGAATATGGAGTTACTTCTTATGTGTTAATAGTCAATATAGGTGTGAAGGCATTTCGGAGAGGGTGCCAGTTAAGACCGTAGTGAACCACTATACTGTTTTCCATCTAGAACTGGCTTGCAAATGAAGTAGAGGTCCTTGTTAGCACTGAGGAAGCTCGACGGCACCTTAGTGACCTTCTGGAGGACAGAAAGCTCTTGGCGCAGGAGCTCCTCCAGCTCAAAGAGAAGAAAGAAGCTGGGCAAAACCCGCCTCCGAAGCTCCGGGTAAGGGAGAAGCAGCCCTGTCCCCTGTTCCAACCACTGGCTATTCAGCAAGTGCTGTAACTTAGTCTCAGTCTCTTTGGTCCTGGCCCCAGAGAGGGGAGATGGAGATGGTTTCTTTTCTGGAAGAAGGGCTAAGGTTCTCACTGTCCTCTGGCAAGTCAGAGAACACGGGTGCTAGTGCAGGGAGACTGACAGACGTCAGCAGGTCACAACCCATATTGAAGACTTTATGCTGTTGTGAAGGAGCAATGGGATTCAAGCTATTAAGAGATTCTTGGAAACTTTTATAATAATGTTGTTCCTCTCTTGGAATGGCTATAAATGAAAGCCTTGTCTTACACGTTGTTTATCTCAACATTTCTTCAACTATTGTTTAATTCTATCTATTCCTGCAATTCTTTAGAGACGGACCTACTCTGTAACAGATTTGCAGGCATCAGAGATGGACATTTCCATATCAAAGGAGATAGAGAGCCTGGAAACTGAGATGGAGCTAAGGTAAGGCACTACTAGAAAGCTGATGTGCAGCCTGCACCTTATCTTTACTTTTTCTCTGTAGTTGTTTTGTGAAACAGAAGACAAATGCAAGTAGTTTATAACATTAACATGAAAAACTATGAAGCAAAACCATGTGGTTCTCTTGGCCTGAAATTTCCCAAAATATGGTGAGTTGAGGATACTCCTCGGGCAAAACTAAGTTTGCTCTGATGTTAGTTGTCTGTGAGCATCCTCAGATGGGGTGAACATGGTGCTTTTGTCGTACTTTTGCTTTAGTTGGAGGTGTAGAAGGGCGAGTGCCTGGTGTACACCTGGAAGCTCCAGTGGCCATGCTAAGTAGTAAAGTCTTGGCTTGAACTGTTTAGTCTAATGTTCTGATAGAGGCCATTCTAGCTTAGGCACCAGCTCAGGTTGTCCTGTGCTTTCATCTCAAATGTGTCTTTCCAAAGGAGCGCTCAGATAGCAGATCTGCAGCAGAAGCTCCTGGATGCAGACAACGGTGACCGTGCGAAACAGCGCTGGGACAACATTGCAACAATTCTAGAAGCTAAATGTGCTTTGAAGTATCTCCTTGGAGAGGTAAATTCAGAGTTTTCCAGTTTTCATTACTAAAATCTCGGTCTTCTGAGCCCTGAATGAAAGGAAATGACTAATGGGTCAAGAGCAGGGATAATTTCAGGTGAAGCACTGTCTTTCTGGATTAGGTTAACTTCCTTCAGTTTCTGGTTAAAACGTTCTCCTCTAGATCAGCTTAGGGGTTAAGATTTGAAAAGAAGGGAATAGGGGAGCATAGCAGTCACTGGTTGGGGGGTGTCTGCTAAAGCTTGGCTATTTTAGGAGCTATGCGTGGGAACAGTAAAAGGGAAGAGACAAATTTCAGAAGCAGGAGTGGAAAAGTGCTTAAAATACTTCCAGAACAAGTAGACAGTCTGTACAAAAGCAAGGGGAGTATTTTCTGAGGTCAGCCTAGGGAACACTGGCGTGATTGTTGGGATGAGAGAAGCTTGAACAGGACTGGAAGTAGAAAAGAGAAGAAATTGGGCTAATAGAGAATCAAGGCAGAGCAACCTAAGGACAAAATCACATGGCAGTCCACGGTCTAAAGGAAAAGAATGAAGGAAGAAATATGGGAGAGCGTTCAGTGGGTTTCTTGTAATCCTCACATCTCAAGTGCAGCAGGAAAGCATAAGAATTGCAGGACTATGCAAGACTTCTGCTATCTCCACTCTGTGGGTCCACACTGTCTGCCAGCTCTGAACCCCTCGTCTGCTACCTTTGGTGCTGATGGCTCATCCCCTTCATAAGGTCTAAAGGAAAAGAATGAAGAAATATGGGAGAGCATTCAGTGGGTTTCTTGTAATCCTCTCATCTCAAGCGCAGCAGGAAAGGATAGGAATTGCAGGACTATGCAAGACTTCTGCTATCTCCACTCTGTGGGTCCACACTGTCTGCCAGCTCTGAACCCCTCGTCTGCTACCTTTGGTGCTGATGGCTCATCCCCTTCATAAGCAGACTGTTTTACTCTGACTGAAGCATTTCTGTCATAAAAACATGGCAAAATATGGAGCTCACTGACCCAAGCAACCTTCTTGCTGTTTTCTTTCAGCTGGTCTCCTCAAAAGTGCAGGAAAGCAAACTGGAGAGCAGTCTTCAGGAGAAGAAAGCTAGCTGTTCAGACATACAAAAGATGCTAATTGAAGAGCGAAACCACGCAACAGAGTTGGAGGCTGAGTTCCAAAATCAACTTTTGCTGCGGGAGCAACAGCACCAGGAAAAGGTAAAACATGTTACAGAATCTGGGAGCTTCTATGCTAATGTCCTGGAACTCTGATGCCACCATCTGCTTGGGGAAAAGGCAAGAGGGGCATGACAAAACTGATCTGTTCAAGTTTCGTTGGCCTCTTGCAGGGCAGGCAGCAACAGCCTCCAGATTTCTCTATTCATCTCTGGCTCTTGTGGATTGCTTTTATTCAGTAGCTTTTTCATGTTGCTCTAAATGAGGTTGTAGAACCTAAGCACAAGTTGGTGTTTTGTGGATTGGAGCAGAATAACGCTGGGAATGGCCAAAAGCAATCTTTCTTGAGAAAACTGCCAAGGCCCTTCCTGCCAAGTCTGCCAGATCTCTCTTCAAGAATTCACATTTCTTTGTCCTCTGTTATCATGCTTGCAGGTTCTGTACCTGCTCAGCCAATTGAAGCAAAAAGAAGCAGAAGAGAAGAAAATGGAAGAGGAACAATTGCAAGAGCGGCTCAAGTTCCAGGTAGAGTTTCTGGATATTGCTTTTTGGGGCCTCTTCACTGGTGCTGTCTGTTGCACATGTAGTTATTTAAAATAGTAGCTTTATAGCGAGGAATGTGTGAAAGGGAAGTGTTGCTGAGGATGCTTCCATCTGTAACTACGATTGTGTTGAGTTTGAGAGAGCCGCTACGCAGGTTCAGCTAAGACTGTGGAGCTGTGTGTTTTGTTTTCTGTCTCTTGTGCATCTCCTTCTATAGAAGAAACTCCCCTGTAATCAGCTCATGCAGGATCCTCTGTGTTCAGGACACCTTTAGTTAGGATATCAGCAGTGTTGCTAATGCTTTGCTGAGCGCAGTCTCCTTGCGCTGTCGGCAGGGGAGGGCTTTGGCCTGAAGTAAGCAGGTTACGAACTGCCCCTTCCTTGGGGCTAGGAGAAGGAAGAAGTGCTGCTGGGGAAGGACATGGTTAGTGGATTTTGCAGATGCTTTGATCCTGGGTGCCCCTAATTTGGAGAAAAGGCTTCAAAATCTTAGGTTTTTAGGAGTTTTAGGTTTTAAATGGTCGCTTGAAAGACTGGATCCTTTTACAGTTGTATTGACAATGTTATGCATAAAAGCAAGTAATGGCACTAATGATCCTCCTGATCTAGAAACCAAAGCTGATGTCCTGTTGGAAAATACTGAGAAGCCCTTTTAACGTTGGAAAAGAACCAAATAGTTGTTTGGGCAGATTTTTTATTTGCACTACTCCATGTAAGCCTTGTGTCTTGCAATTTCCTTGTCTCTTGCAAACAGGAGGAAGAGCTGGAGAAAATGAGGGAGATGTGTGAGAAGAACCAAGCACTTCTCCAGGAAAATGACACTCTCAAACAGGTAGAAATGTGTACAGACCTCGTTGTACCGGAGCAACTTGGCAGGGGTAGGTGCACCCTGCAGAGGTAACTCGTGTCCTTCTTGACAGAAAATGCTGCTTCTCCAAGTGGCCAGTGGCCAGAAGCTCCGATGCCTTCAGCAAGCGCAGTCCCCAGACTCCCCTTTTGAGTACATTCCCCCCAAGGTAAGGGCTGCCCAGCCGCTGTCCTGCTTCTGTGGTGCCCGGGTTCTCCCTGGGCATCAGTGTTGGCTGCTAACACTCGTCTTGGTTTCTTCCTGCCAAGTGGCTTTTTGCAAGACATCTTGTTCTGCTCAGTGGAGTAGGCTTGGGCTGTGCTTCAGACAGTCCTTTAGGCTTCCATTTTTGAAATATTTCTGGAATTATTTGGCACCCTTTTCCCTGCTTAAAAAAGGAAAAAATCTGTGCCTTCTGCCTAATTATGTTTGACTGTATCAGACATGATAATAATGTTTAACTCCATGCTCTTGAGTAAGCTATAGGTGTTTCTCTGCGGTATTTTCAGTCTCTGAGTCACAGAGCAAGGCATCTGTCATAGAATGTTTTGTCACTGCCCTGCAAAAGATCTAAATCCCAGTGCTGGAAGGAAGGAATAAATGATCCCAAATTATTTTTGCTAAAACTGTGATACAAATATACTAATTTGCTAAAACTTTTTAAATTTTATCAGTTTAAACCAAGTATGTGCTTGAACGGCCAGTGTGATTATTTGCCTTCTCCCTGACCCTGTATCTCTCTAGGCTGCCCAAGGGGAATGGGGGATGCTGATGGGATTCTGAAAACCCTGCTTTGATTAATTGTATCATTTGTCAGAAACCATAGTCAAAATTGTTCTTTCTTTTTTTTTTTCTGGGACCTCAATCCATACTAATTTCCGTGTGTAGCCAAAGGCTCGCCAGCAAACGACAGCCAAGCCCCGCGTGCCGTCCCCAGAGGTGGACGTGGAAGAGCTGTTCTCTGACTCGGGGGAGTCTGGAGGGGAGCTGGAGGATGCAGAGTGGGTCCCGGTGAAAGCAGCCAAAGGAGCAAAAAGAAGCGTGATGGGGGTAAGATGCAGTCACCCAACTGTCCCCCTTGGACTTGTTGCGACCTCCAAGGGATCCCCTTGCCCGCATTCCTGGGGATCTGGTGTGTTTATGGAGAAGGAGACCAAGGGGTCTCCACTGATCTGTGGAGCTGTCTGCAGCTGGTGTGACTTGTTACTGTCTTTGCTTTGCTTTCTTTGGCAGGTGGGGGGTGGATATGTTGCTAGCTGTGCTTGTGTGGAGGTTACGTGGTGGGTTTTTTGTTTGCTTTTAATTTGGCTTTGGTCACGCTGCAGAAAGAAGTAGAGAGCAAAATTAACAGTTTTTGCTTTTCTGAGTCCCTACATGGAGCCCAGTGCAAGTCACTGGTCAGCGTGGGACTGCAGCTCGCAGACGCTGCAGTTGCAGAAAGGTTTCTTGTTCTGCTGGGCCATGAAATGGCTGTGTGGGGTCACCTGGTCTCGAAGGAGGCCCCTGAGCGTGGTGACACTGTTGTGCTGCCTGGCGCTGAGACTGGCACCCTCTGGGGCAGCTGAAGTCGGGCGCTACAAAATCAAAGGTGCTTCTTTGGGATTGCTCCATCCAGAGTGGCTCAGGAGGCAGCCAGAGGACTTTGCTCCATCCCCTGGGATGAGAGACAGGCAGGGAAGGTTCGTGACGGCCGGCGGCTGCTCCCGTCCTCCAGCCTGGTGACCTCTGAGCTTGGGGTGCTCGGGCTGCGCAAACCTGGGTGCGCTCACAAACCACCAAAGCTCTTTCTGCGCAAAACTCTCTCCTACCAGTGCTCCTGCAAAGGCCGATGCGGAGACAAGCGCTGCGGCTGCAGGAGGCAGAAGGCCGGCTGCACGGGCGGCTGCACCTGCGACTCGGCAAAATGCAGGAACAGAGACCCGGCCTTCCAGGTGAGCCCAGCTCCGCTCAGGGGTGCTGGTGTCCCTCGGCCAGCCAGGGCAAACCCCAGGGAACGTGTGTGCGAGGAGCAGAACCGCTCCGTTCAGCTGCAGCCTGGCTACGGAAACGAGTGAATTCACTCGGTGAATACCTGGCACCTTTGTAAATGTCACGGTAATTCAGTGGCTTATCTGTGCTATTTGACTCCACGCTTTGCTGCTGCAGAACCAGTGACAGAATAGAAACTGCTCTGAAGTATAGAAGTTTCGGTGATGTCCCAAATCACTTGGTTTTGCTCACTGGTAGTTGTCAGGTGCAAATCTGAGGACAAAAAAAAGTCCTTTTTTGATGCTTTGCAAGTACAAATGTTATCTTGAGCTCAAATTACAAAAAAGCTTTTTTTTTTTTTTTTTTTTTAAGGTTAGAAGGAATAAGTTGGGCAGGGGGAGCTGCAGCCTCAGGATGGTTCATGAGGAACTGCTGCTGCTGAGTTCTGCTAGAAGGGTTGGCCTTGCCCTCGGGTCTTGGACAGGGGAAGCAGAGACCTCCCCCATGCTGTGTTGCTGAGCAGCAGCAGTTCTTGGATTGTTCACTGAGCTAGTAGATGACGGCAGGTACCCCTAGGAAGGGCTTGGAAATTGGAGAGAATACTTTAAAACCAGAGAGAATGCTAGTATTTCTGTAACCCCTGGAAGAGGGGGGGCTGGTTATTGTAAATGTGCTTTAAGACAGTGCTGTCCCTCAGGAGGCCACGTTGCATGAGGACCAGTCCAAGGATTCTGAGGGATCCTTCAAGCTAGAGGAGCCCACTGAAGCCTCTGCCGAAGAGACCTTCTTCCAGCCCGTGTTTATCACTCCACCTACCAAGGTACTGCTCAAGGCTGAGGAAACGAGCGGGGGTGCAACTCGGGGCTGCCAACAGGGACACAACCCGCATGAAAACTGCTGCTGGAGCCTTCTGAACACACTGCAGTTCTATGGCCAGCTGTGGTTGAGCCGGGAGGGTGCAGAATTCTTGGGGTTTAGCACAAACTCTGTCTTAGGCAGCAGCTGTGCCATGGCAAGTGGAGCTGAGGTGCTGCTCTCACCCACACTAATGCTAACATCCCCCACTTTCCTGCTGCACCTTCCAGCAATAAAAGACAGATGGACCTGGTGAACTAGGACAGATTTTTATCTATGCCTAAACTTATTGTTCTTAGGCTACTTCGACTTGGCAGGTGAAGTTCTGCCTCAGCTTAAACTGATTCATTTAATTTCATGTGTATCCTCTGATGCTGATTCCCAGTGCTGTCTCCTCCAGCTCAGCCTGGGCATTGGTCTTCAGGTTTTGCCCTGAATAAAGGAATGCAGCACTTCTTTCCACATTGGCCAGGGAATGTACATTTTTGCTGTCCCCAAGCTTTACTAAGGTTGCTTGCCTCTCGTCAGAGCAGTGACCAGCTGCAACATTTCCCTCCTTGCTTCCTCATAGGTCCTGAAAGATATTACAGACCAGGATCTATCTATCAAGAAGACGAACGCTGCCACTTCCCTGCTCCTGAAAGACGAGGGCCAGGAGAACCAGCTCCCCCTTGTAAAGATCAAGAAGAGGACGCTGAAGAGCATGACCAGCTTCTTTGCGGGCTGCACTCCTATCAAGGAGGAAGTCAACTGAGGCAGAGTTGCCAGGCTGCCCGTGCCCGGGCTGTGCTGCACTTCTTTACTGTCCCTGAGGCTGGTGACTTTCAAAACCGCGTTGAGCTCTCTGGCTGCAGCATCACCCTGGCGCCAGTTTTGCCTCACAGCTGTTGGCACCAGTGAGGGAATCAACCCCTAGGTCTTCCTAGATGCTGTAAATTCTTTATAAATATTTGTATGTGTGGGATGGTGGGGGTGGATGTCTGGTACCAGAACGATGCTGAAAAAGCTCTTTCCTCTTTGGAGTTTTTGTAGCGAGTGGAATCGATTCATCATTCCTGTTGTTTTCCTCAGCCTGAGCTGTGGCCACACTGTGATTAAATCCATGACCTTGAAAGAACTTTGGATTTGCACTGGAGTTCTGGGTCCTGTCTTTTCCAGTCCAGAATGAGGAACTGTTCCAGGCTCCCACCTCAGAGCTGGCAGTACTTGATCTTAACGAGACCTTGTCTTTAGTCTTAACTGAGCTAGCAGTGATGAAATGGTCAGTGAAGTTAGAAGCAGGCTAGCCCTAGATGAACCTTGTACTAATTTTAATTTGTTTTTGTAGCTTGAATAAACTACTTAAAAAAACAGCTTTGTATTTTTCACAGTTCCAGTTTTGGTCCTCCTTCCTGGGAGAGCCTGGGAGGCAGGAGAAGCTCCCAGGCTTGCAGCTGAGCCTGAATTCAGAGCGTGGCTGCTCCAGCAGCCTCCTCTGGGACTCTGCACCTGTGACAAGCAGGGCCCAGGCCTTACAAAGAGCAATTATTTAACAAAAGCACCTCCAAGGAGCAGGTATTTTAAAAGCACCGCCAATGGTTTTGTTTGTTTTTTAATATATAAAACATGTTTAATGGTTCTTCTGCATTTCAGTTATCGAACAGTTGAGCTCCTACTACAGACCAAAAGCAAACTGCTCCTGACCACCACTACCTTCCCTCTGCCCTTAGTTGGTGCTTCCTGCACACGCTGCTGTTAAGAACAGAACATTTTTATTAAATGCACTAGAACTACAAGCTGCTGCCCAGGGCAGGCAGATGGAACCAAAGGGAGCCAGAGCTGGGCCCCAGCCCTACTGCCACCCACAGGGACAGGGGGGGCCTAAGGCCACCAGCACTCACTGATTTATGACTAACAGGTTGAAGGAAGGAAGTGTGCTGTAGAAAACCCCTCCTTCTCCTTTGTTACAGTGGAAATACAGAGGAAATCGTCACACATATTCAAGCTGCACATGGAGAACACGGTACAGAAATAACACAGTCTAGAAGCAATAAACACATTTAGAAAAAAAAGCCAATATTTCCTGCGTCTTTCCTTCCTCACTGCAGAGTGTCTTCTTTGTCTTTACTCCATTTGAAATTTAGCACCTGTATCAGACTCTATGTTACTCAGTGCTTCCCAAAAGTACTTTTCCTTGGCACGGTGCAATAGGGCAAAAGCACCCGGCTCCCCCGGCCTCACAGGCAGAGCCTGAGCCCAGGGGAGACGGGAGGGCCGTGCTGCTGGTGAGCAGCTTTTTACCATTTCTATGGAGGCCTAAAGGACACTACAGGAAAAGCAGAGTTGTT